AGTAGTAGTAGTAATAGTAGTAACATGGCCTCTCCCCAAACAAGTAGATGAACCGCGGGGACAAAACTAAAAAGGACCTTCCATAAGTATTTTGCCGCACGATGCAGGACAACAACGGTCACCCGAAGCGATCTGGCTACGACCTGATCTTTCGAATGATTGACAGCCTGCCATCGCACGGAAAAATCCGCCGTAATTTGTTTTGCGCTGCGTGCCATACCGCAAGTACACACTCTAATCACTCGTCGAGCGTTCACTAGCCTGGTACAAGCAACTTTGTGTCGCTCCTTGCGCTGAGATAAACGTAATTAACCCCCTTGTATCACCTCCCCCTGATATTCAAGCCTCACCCTGCCACCCCTAATACTATATATTCCCGGTGAGGTATATATACCATTACAGATAATATATATGGAGAATGTAAGATTCACTGTGATGGGGGGGAGGTGCTTCATCTTGCGGGAGAGGCTCCATTTGGAGTGTAGTAATGAGGGGGTTCTAGTTACCCCGACCCCATGTAACAATTACCTTGTAACCTGTCATATGACCCTGATAAGGTGCTAGTTTTAGGGGTTGGGACGAAAACCCCTCAACCCCAAAGCCCAAAACCCTCTAGAAAGCCGCTCCAAATCCTAAATGGTTTAGGCCCCATGCGGATATTTTGCAAGCATAAGGTTTACAGTAGGCTTTGCAATTTGAGTATGTACTCTATGATTGCCAGGACCCTGTAGGTGACCCTAAACCCTAAACCCTAAACCCTACGAGCGCCCTTTGGCTCAGGTTCCTTTCCTGGATTCTCATGTTGTGGTTTAAGAAACGATATGACAAAAGGGCTTAGGGTTTTGGGCTCAGGGTTTAAGGGTTAAGGGTTTAGGGTTTAGGGGTTTAGGGTTTAGGGTTTAGGGTAGGGAAACCCAAAAAAACACGCGTAGGGATTCCTGACATGCATATCTCTCACGCAGAGCATGAACCACTGCGACGCTGAAAATCCGGTTGTCCCTGCAAGGGGTACGAGCTCCAATTGTTTTGGGGTGTGTTTCGGGCTTGGTTATCTGTAGCCGTACCTAGACCTAGACTCTTCACACCTACCCTTTCTTGGAGACCTAGACTCTTCACCCCTACCCCTTTCTTGGGGGTACCTAACTTAAGTCTGGTATTTTCTAGGCAGGGGTCCAAGGAATATAATCTTAGGATTCTATGTCCAAAAGTCTGTTCAGATTACGGCATTTGACACCTGAAGCCCTGTTGTTTAAGTCCTTGGACCCATGGGCTAGGGTGTCTAAGCATTACCTCAAAGTCCGAACTTGCTCAACCCTAAACAACCCTAAACCCTATAAACCCTGAACACCCCTAAACCTCCCTTAGCCCTAAACCTTAAACCCTAAACGCTAAACTCCCTAAACCTTAAACCCTAAACCCTAGCCCCCCCCTGTTCGAGGTCTTTTTGATGCATTGCTGGATGCCGAAGCCGAGCCCCCTGGCTTCGCACAAGAAAAAAACACAAGTTTTAGGGTTTAGGGTTGTTCTTAAGGGTTTAGGGTTTTGGGTTTAGAGGTTTAGGGGTTAGGGTTCAGGGAGTTTAGGGTTTAGGGTTTATAAGGTTTAGGGGTTTAGAGGTTAGGGGTTAGGGTTCAGGGAGTTTAGAGTTAAGGGTTTATATGGTTTAGGGGTTTAGGGGTTTAGGGTCTATAGGGGCTAGGGTTCAGGGAGTTTAGGGTTTAGGGAGTTTATGGTTTAGGATCTAGGGTTTAGGGTTTAGGGTGTAGAGAGTTAAGGGTTTAGGATGTAGGGTTTGGGGTTTGTTCTTAAGGTCTCTGTAAAGAAGGGACCATTGGGAATACGCTTCCTTAAAGAGGGATCCTAGCCAAAAAAGGCATTAACTTATGGACCGTATGAAGGCTATGGGCTTATGAGAAAAGTGGGGGTTCGCTCTTCGGAGTCCCTATAATGTAATCAGGCTTATAGTATGGGTAGTTCCCAAAATCAGGGTCCCATTTTGGTACCCCTAAATATAAGGTGCCGTAGTATAGGCTATGACGCAAAGGGACGCAGAATTTTGAGAACAACCCAATATGTTGGTGTAAGCTACCTTACGTAATTGGAGAGTCAGGGGACTTAGCCAATTATAGGGTATATAGAACCCAGTGCCCGTAATTTAGGTAACTGGGAGCCCTAGGAGTATATTCGCGTGTACGGGCCCGCCTTTCTTCGGAACTCCCAGGTATCTCCATAGTAATTCTCATCGTAGCCTCCTCAAGAGTCCGATAACCCAGTTCCCAATCCACGCAAAGACGTAAACCGTGGGTCCCAAATTTCGGAAACGTAGTTGTTTACAATTCCCTAAACCCTACACCCTAAACCAATTCTTTTCCCCCGTTCAGCCTTTAAGCTTCAATCCAACGTACAGAGCCCCACTCTCTGACCCTCTTGGCTGCCATAATGCACTCGCCTCAACTGATTCATGCAAAATTGAACCCCTAAACCCTAAACCCTAAAGAATTTGGACTTAAGAAGCCTCCAGACTGTAATGTTATATCATGCCAGGTGTAGCGATCAGAGTTTAAGATTTGCGGTCTAGGGTTAAAAGGGACGCGGTTGAGGGTTTGGGGTTTAGGGTTTAGGGGGAAATGGGTCATAGCAGCATTATATGGGGTGAATGCATTCTACGGCTTTCTTTTTGGATCCTTTCCTCTAAGTGTAGGTGTATGGTATATACTTAGCCCCAAGGGGTTCCCATATATACCTACCTTAAGGCCCGAGTATATATAATGTACCTAACCCAAACACCCTGAGCCCTACAAACCCTAAACCCTAAACCCTGAAAAACCCTGAAACCTAAACCCTGAAAAACCCTAAGCTCTAAACCCTAAACCCTAAACCCTGAAAAAGCCTAAAGCCTAAACCCTAGACCACATTGCTACATGGACCTTTGGACAGCATGTCAAAGGTCAGCAGCGCCTCGAGAACCTACATCGCCTTCCTTGCGGAATGCCTCGCAGTCTTTGCTCCCTGCCTTGGGGTCAAGGTTTAGGGTTTTAGGGTTTAGGTTTAGGGGTTAAGGGTTTAGGGTTTTAGGGTGTAGGGTTTTAGGGTGTAGGGTTTAGGGTGTAGGTTTCAGAGTTTAGGTTTTAGGGTTTAGGGTGTAGGTTTTAGGGTTAAGGGTTTAGATTTTAGGGTGAAGGGTTTAGGGTTTAGGGTTCAGGTTTTAGGGTTTGGGTTTTAGGGTTTGGGGTTTAGGTCTTAGGCAATGTTTGTCAAGCCCCCGCCCCTTAATGGGTATTACAAGGGATTATTGTAGGTGTATTCAGGCCCCTATGCTTCACACTTAGTGGCTATTCCTGTAGGGGGAATTGACCTAAGCAATGTTGGCGTTATCCATGGTTTGAGCTTCGCAGAAGTTGATTTGGCCAAGGAAGCCTGGGTTGCTGTTAAGGA